AATGATTCTATGATTCTATGATCTTTACATATATACATTCTCTTTATAATTATTGCTGTTTTCTTGCTTCCAACAAGATCTGCTACCTAGTTATGGGTCACTGATATCAAAATATTCCAGAAAACAAGTATTTGAACTTGTGTGTGAAATGAAGAAAAGAATGGTTAAGGGTATTTTAGCAAATACATACTGAATGTTAGAACTTGTTCATGAATTTTGTTCCTTTATGCAATGATAGTCATCAGTGATAATGCGGGAGGTTTATTGTGTGCACTTCTTATTTAAGAACAGTCTTCAATTTTCTATTTACTAAATTAAATCATTGCAAATAATCATAAATAAAATGTACATCAGTCATGTTACAATGAATTGTACTTATAGGAACTGGTTTTTTGAATGACCCAATATGCTTTTCTTAATGTTTGCAGCTGAAGGTTACTCAGGAACCAAGAGCAAAGAAAGGACGACGTAACCAGAGTGTGGAACTCAAGAAAGAAGTGAGTAACCTCAATTACCATGTTTGTAGAGACAGCAAAATACGAAAGGTCTGAAATTTTAATAGACATGCCTTCAATTTCTGTCACCTTTTACTGATTTTACAGCATTAATTTTGGAAGTTCCAGCTCCATAGCTTGGTCCTCCTTCCTAACAAGCATAATTGTACATTCCAGGTGCAAGCCACTGGTGTCATCATGGTCGTATTCTGTATCATGAATAAATTAACAGTCAGCTTACAGCATTCTTTTTTTTTTAAATGACAAATTCAGGCTAGTTAGTAAGTCTATAAACAGCAGAAATTAGAAAGTATTTTGCACGATCAAGAATATTAAGTTTATAAAATGTCATATCTGCCTTTGTCCGTGAACTTCCTTCCTTGTTTATCTAGCTTGCACACTGAATGATCATGTAACCAAGGGACTGTATTATTATGCTTGTACACAAGGGGGCAGTTACTGAGACAGCCATAAATCTCCTGTTTCCTAACTTTTGGGTACTTTTTCCTGGCCTTGTTTCAGCTGCATGTTGAACACTAAGAAAAAGTTGCACACATGCACAGTCCTCGGAAGAGGACTCAGGACTCCATTACAGAAGAGTGTTCAGGTATTTCAGCACCAGAATTATGTGGGACGGCTCTGGTGCCTGAAATACAAACACTGCTGCTCCTGATACCTGGGCACCTGCCTCCCTACTGTATCTGATACCGCAAGAGGCACATTCATCGATGGAGGCAGTGACACATAGTCTCTGCTCCCTGGGGCACAAACTGTATTTGAGTGCAAGACAGGGAGACTACAGTTTAGGATGTCTTGTCATTTTTATTGTGTTTTCTGTCAAGCAAATGCTGTAATTTGCTTCATGTATTTATGTCTTAATATTCGCCTTCTTAGCTCTGCTCATGTTTCATCAGTGATGCAGAAGTCACAGTGACCTATTAGAGAGTAATTGGTTGCAAAAGGGAATATACAGTCAGCCTTTTGATTGGAGTGGGCAGTGCCTCATCACACAGACAGGCACAAAGTCCAGTCCTGAGCAAGTCTGGTGTTACAAGGACTGTGTATTTTGTCTCATTTTAAATGAGCTTTAAAAAAATTAAGTTAAAAAACAAACAAACAAACAAATAATGTTCATCTGTGTCTTCAGACACTTCAAATATCGGTAAGAGTTTGCAGGGATATTACTTCTATCTGTTCTAAAGAGCAGGAGCAATTGGTGTTGCGGTGTAGTAACATAGGCAGCTACATTCAGTACAGTACACTACAGTAACTATGATTTCTTTCTTGATAATTGTGTAATTACAGAAAGCTTCTGTGGTCATCCAAGTCTAGTTCTATATTATTGGAAGGAAGACTTAGTTGCTCATTAGCCTTTCATCTTCAAAGCATCTTTGAAGTAGTAATCGATCTTTGCAGCAGTTCTGTGAAATCAGTGGAATATTACAGACTCCAGTGGAACCTGTTGGGCCAGAGAAAGCCCAGAGTTTGCCAAAACAATTCAGATACCTTGGCCACGCAGCTACAGTCTCTTCAGAGAGAATGGTAGGGGTAAAAAATCTATAACAACCCTTTAGTAATCCCAAGGGACCTGCAGTGATTCAGCATGGCCTCTGATGGTGCTTGTACTTTTGGGGAAGCGAGGCTGTTGAGTGTGGCATACTGACACTATACGTGTGCTTCCTTCTGGAGGGCTCCTAGCTGAAGTCAGAAAAGCCTGACCAAAGAGCCTAACCAGTGTCATGCTGGTTTTCCTCAGGGATCTCACATCCCATTAGCACTAAAAGTCTTCAACAGACACCTTTCACATTAATTACCCTGGCATTAGTCATGTAACATTTTTTCTGCAGGGGTAACTGAAAGTTAACTTGTTCTATTTTGATATCTGGATTTACAAGTTTGTTCTTTCTCTGTAGGAGCCAGAACCTGAAACTGAAGCAGTAAGTTCAAGCCAGGAAATTCCCACAATGCCTCAGCCTATTGAAAAAGTTTCAGTCTCAACTCAGACCAAGAAGTTAAGTGCCTCTTCTCCAAAAATGCTGCATCGGAGCACCCAGACCAGTAATGATGGAGTGTGTCAGAACATGTGCCATGACAAATACACCAAAATCTTTAATGATTTCAAGGACAGGATGAAAGCTGATCACAAAAGAGAAACTGAGAGAGTTGTGCGAGAGGCAGTGGAAAAGGTAACACTTGTCAAACACCACCTACACTCTGGTTTGAGGAGAGGAGTGTGGATTTTTTTCACATTCATTTCTATTTTTGTAACATCCACCCTTAAGAAAATGAATAAAAAACCTTTTCCAAAGAGACCACATAAAAATAGTCTTCATTATTGCTTTTTAGGCCATTTCTATACCAACAGACCTTAGTTTAAAGAGAAGACTCCTGGTTTTTTGATTCTTGTCCAGTGAAATCAGTTTGTGATCCAAAAATGAAACTCCTTGTTCATTCATGAGTATCCTTTTCCAAAGCCTTTGTCTCCATTGTCAAGTGTGGTTGTAAACAATGGCATTGTTTAAATGCTATTCATAAATAATCCTTCTTTTGTCAATCTTCTGACCTAAACATTAAATAGATTCGCTGAAATTTGTTTGAATTTTCTTATCTAATGATAACCAGTTTAAAATTCAATATCTAAACCTGACCTGATCACCTTTGGCTGGAGAGAGCAGGACAATTTAGAGGATGACCTCTCTTAAGTACCTGTCTTAAGACAAGATGAATTTCCTTCTGGATGAAGGGCTATGGAATTAACCTAGGGAGTTTAAGTGTTAATCCTGTAGGATTAAGACACCAAACTTTTAGATAACTGAGCAAGGGCAAAAGAATCCCACTGACAATGAATACTAAAAGATATCTCTTACTGAACTCAGGGACGTTCTATTTTGTATTTTCCATTGTGCCTTTGCTGTAGATTTATATGCAGTTGTAGATTTTGGAAAGACAAAATCTTTGTCTAAGATAAATTCATAAATTTGTAGACTGATCATTGACAAAATATACATAGAACCTATTTAGCTGTTTTTGTAGATGCCTAGCAGAATAAAAATACGGTGACATTTTTATTTTTGAATGTTTCTTATGGGATGGAAATTTTGTTATAACTCTAAAGGCGAGAACTTTTTATTTTCTAAATAGGAGAAATCTCTAATTATGTGGCCTCCACCCACATGAGTAATAGAGGTTTAAAGAGCAAAGGTTTAAAGAAGATACTTGCATTCCAATAGCTGTCCATTGACCTGTTTTGCTGACTTTCTTATGGCAGCTGCGTACGGAGATGGAAGAAGAGAAAAGGCAGGCTGTAAATAAAGCTGTGGCCAATGCACAAGGAGAGATGGACAGAAAATGTAAGCAGGTAAAGGAGAAGTGCAAAGAAGAATTTTTAGAAGAAATTAAGAAGCTAGCAGGCCAGCACAAGCAACTGATTTCCCAGACCAAGAAGAAGCAGTGGGTAAGTGTCAAAAATTTATTACAAGAGAATAAGTTGAAATATATAATTTATACTGCAGGCCAATTGAAGGTGATTTCTTCCTTACTTTTAAGTGCACCCCTCTTTCACTGGTCTTTCAGCTTTAAGGTTTTCTCCTTCATATTACTGCTTTCAAATTTTCTTAACCTACAAGTTTCAACTTGAAGTTCTGATTACTTTCCATCTTAATTAGGTAGTGTTAACAGCACTTGAGTCCAATCAGCTGTTAGTATCAAAATGTTTTTTTCTAAATGCAGTTTTACTCCATATAAGACATGTTTTGCTTTATGTTCACACTCCTTTGATCTCAAGGCCCCAGAGGGTACAATATCTGGCTGCATCAATTTGGATTCCTCTGCTAATAATGCTGATAGTGATATCCTTTTGGCCTTTTCTTCTCCTAGCCTTTTCTGCAGCTCTTTTATGTTCTTTTGTATTTAAGACATGACTTTCTGAAATATATTTCTCTCCCTTGTTCAGTCCTTAAGCTCATATCTGCAGCATTGCCTGCAGAAAACATGTTTGTCTGCCCTCTAGAAAAGCGAAAAGAGACATCTAACTTGCCATTCTGTTACATGCTGCAAACTTCTCCCTGTTTTTGTTTGGTTTGTGTCTCGTTTTTTCTTTTCAAGCTAGAAGTGTGTTCTCCCACATGGTTGTACAGCATCTACTCAAACATTGGATGTACCATAATACCGCGCTGCTAGCCTACGAGAGAGTACAAGTGGAAACTCTTACGCTGAGGAGCAGCGAGCCTGGCACACACACGAACTTTATTCTTTCTTTCCCAGTTTTCATAGAGCAAGAAAATGAAAGCCATCGTTCAGGAAATCACACTGCACTGTAGTAACTATCTATAACATACAGGAGGGCGGGTGCAAGATTTTCTGCTCGCCTCTTTTTGATCTTTGATTTTGCCAGATGCGGCTGAGAAGCCTGCGGGTACCTTGCCACAAGATGGCACGCTGATCCGAGCAGCGATGGACAGCCACCATCCCACTGCCGCTGCTGCCTGGGGACAGCCAGCCCTGGCTCTGTCCTGCAGCTCCTCTTTGTCTTCTGCTGTAAAGGGATGTTTGTTTATGTTCAGCCTCATTACTCCTTGTTCTTACAGATGAAACGATGGTCCCTGCAGGGAAAACTCTGCTCTGTAGAAAAGTGAAATAAATAGTAAGGCAAGACCATCGGTTGCTGACTATCACAGTTATGAGTTTCGGGTTTTTGGTAAAGAGAAGGATTACTTCAAATGCCAGAGCTCCTGTAGAGTCTTCATTTCTGTTCCTAGTAGAGATTTCACTGTGCATGTTACAATACTGCAGTGCTTGGGTCTCTGTCAGTTAGAAAGTTGTCCCTGTCTACCTGTCTCTGCAGACCAGAGGCATTGTTTAGGTCTCCGTCTTGATCAAGTTCATGTATTTAATGTGTCACCAGCTGCTGGTGTCTGCATGCATACTTTTGCCTGTGACACTTGAGAGGGAAATTGAATTGCCCTTGCCCACTATAGAAGTACACCAAATTAGCTCTCTTCTGTCAAAAGTTCAAGAGTACACATGTGAACTGTTGCCACCATTCAGCTAATATGCAGTTACTCAATCACAGTAACTTGTCTGTGAGTCTGGATTCTTAACTATAGCTGCTTTTTGGTGTCTTTGAAGGCAGAATTTACAAAAGAGACTCCCAAGACTTACTTTCATCTGCTCCATTGTGCCTTTACCATATCCTACAGCCTAATCAGAGCATGCCCCGGTACCACATAAGTGCATCTTATGATCTTTCCGATCAAGATAATTAAGGATATAAAGAGTATTTGACAGTCTTGCCTATTCCTGTGGTTCCAGAGCTATCTGTCAATCGGCATCTTAAATGAAGGCATCATAGAGGCAGCTGGTTTGCATGTGGTAGGAGAGGGAGGGTAAGGATAAACACCTTTGCATTCAAGCTGATGGATCTGCCTGCCAACACACAGCCTCAGGCAGCTGGACTTGGCCAAATTACAGAATTCCCCAGTGATTTTTCTGTGGTACTAATGACAGTCCCTGGTGTGTGGTACTGCTCTTGTATGCTGCTATTATAATGATACCTCCTTACCAAAATCTCATGTAATTAACACACATACTAAATGAGTTTTGGTGGCTTTGCTTTTTAATTAGAAGCAGAGACCTCTGGTTTTGCGTAATGCAGATGTCTAGGCTTGGGAATACAGCTGCTGTTATTCACGCTACATTTGTCTTTTTCTCACACCTAAAACAAAATCCAGTCAGGAAGAAGGGATCATTTTGCTGGTGGTGTACAGGCACATGAGAAGGTGCAGTCCTAGCCCTCAGGAGCCTAACGCATAAAGAACAACATTTTCTGTTGCTTTCTTGGTCATAGTCCCCTTGGCTTAACCCAATTTAATTTTAAAAAATTTGGATTTAATTTAATTAGAAAATTTGGATTTAATACAGATACTTCAAATAAATAGGAAAGGAAAGGAAGGGATGTAAAGCCAGGGATACTGATCATGAGATTATGCAGTCTGATGGCCTCTGGAACGCAGGCTAGAGTGCTGGTCTTGACAATGTTTCTTTTTTAATTTCTCCCAGTTCTTTTATTTGCATATAGGCCTCATTTAAATTGGTACATAGTTAATTTTATACATAATTTTTAACTTCTGTCTCTTTCAATTATATTTACATGTGTATTTATTCTAACTTGCAACAGTTTGTTTTTAAGTGAATGAGCGTTGTCCCTGGTATGTACTGTCTGAAACAAAAACCCAAGTGATTGATAACATTTAGAAAGAGGAAAATACAAAGGAAAGAGGAGGCTTGAGGCCAGTTGGCATTTTGCCTTCTCTGCCACATGTGCTGGTACCAGCTTAGATGACACTATTTTCCTTTTGTAAGTGGAGATTTACATCCCACGCTTATGGCCAGCATATGTAAAGGGAAGTGCAGGACCCACAGATCAGTTGTCCTCTCCTGTCTTAGCTTTTTTTGATCTCTCCAAGCAAGCAGATGTGAAGCTGGTCTCTGGGCTGAGGCCCATGCTGTACTTAGTGGAGAGACACAGCTGTTCCCTGCACCTTTCCAGCGGATGATCCTAATGGTTCCCAAAGGCTTGTGGGCAGCCAGCAACACGAAAAAACAGGAAAACAGCTCTCGAGAGGACACTTGTTTGCAGACATTTCTACAAATAAACTTCCCTGGAGCTAAGTTATAAAAGGAAAATGGAGAGATTCCCTTCTCGTGCAGCTAGGGCAGTCCCTTTATTGCTGATGTAAATAAATAGTTATTGGTTTAGCCAATGTAAATGTCAGCTTTTTTGGATCTGTCTTTTAGTAGTGTGTAGGGTTGTTGTGTTTTTGTTTTGTTTTAAGGCAGCTGGATTTGTTTCCTTTGTAATTCTCTGTTTTATTAACAACGCTGTAGCTAGACAAGTTATAAAAAGTAAATTGTGTATTATTTTGTGGTTTGATAGCAGCCTGCACAGCCTGTGTGATACCCTCCCTCTGTTCCCTGTCACACAATAAGCATTTCAGACTGGATTCGTAAAGGTACTCTCTGGTTTTGAGCAGACCAAATTCAGAAAGACAAATCTGAGATCGTTAGAACCTGGCTCTCAAGGGCGCTGAGTGTAGTGGTTCCTTTAGCAGCAATGCCACCCTACTTTACAGGATTTTGTCAGAATGACAATTACTGCTTTTGCAGCACTCCCTTATGGGGTATAAAACCACCTGAAGACAGGGCACATGGCCCGTCTGGGTGCCATACCTCCTTGTTGACCACCCGTTGTGCTGACCAGCACATGTTGATTCCCTTTTGTTAGTTCCTCAGAGGCCATGGGGTTATTTTCCAGGTAGCTCATCCAGCTACCAGGAAACTGGGGGTGTTCTGTGTGTTCTGGGGTAGAAATCCTCTTTGCTGAAGCGCTCCCCAGAACCAAGTATTTCTGCAGAAATCACGAGCTGTGCAGCATCCCTTTCTTTCAGGAGTTTTGTGCCATCCTGACAGGCATGGCAAGGGGAAGAGCCCATGTAGGCATCCAGTGTACGACAGGCCTTCTCTGGTTTCTGGAAGACTCAAAGGAAAAGGCATTTTTTTGCTCTTCTCAGTAGCGCTGGTGTAGCATGAGGTTTTCTTTTCATGAGACTGCAGCGCTGTCTGGCTGTCAGCAAACCCCAATGACAGCGGCCTCCTTGCAGACCTACCCTAAATGGGCTATAACAAGCCACGTGGTAACAAATTATTCTTTTCTTCAGTGATGTTATTGTTGTGACTTTTGAGATTTTCCTAGCCAAAAAGGATCTTCCGCAGCAACCTCTGGACAGGTCAGGCTTGTAAAGAAACCTCAGAAATGCCGATATTCAAGCTTGCACAGAACCTGTTCGTGCCAGAAGTGCCTGTTGATTTATCATAGCTTTTAAGACATAGATCAGGGTGCTGTTATACAAATGTAGGGTAAGAGATGGTTCCTGCACTGTGTGGCTGAAAAATGTCAGCCCACTGCCCCGAGAGATGAGTTTGCTTAAATAAGAGATGATTTTTTCAAAAGCAACAATCCAAACTCTGGAAAATATGAAAGCATTGAGCAAATTTGCTAAAGATTGCTGCTTTACTCAGCACATGTGAAAAATGCCCTCGTGCTTCTGGATGCCTCAAGCATAAGTAAAAGAGGAGTATTGCTCCACATGTGCTGGTGCATCCGCGAGCAGCCGAGAACACTTGTGCGTTGGTAAGGGGGGATCCTGCGAGGGTGGTAATCTCGTCTCCTTTGTTCTCTCCAGTGCTACAACTGTGAAGAGGAGGCCATGTACCACTGCTGCTGGAACACTTCCTACTGCTCCATCAAGTGTCAGCAGGAGCACTGGCATGCTGAACACAAACGTCCCTGCCGCAGAAAAAGATGAAAGAGTTATTCCTCCCCTAGAAACCACCCCGATGATTGCTATTCTCAGACACAGCGGTTTTTGTTTCCAAGAAGCCAAAATTGTTTAGAATTTGCTTCCCATTTTGCACCAGCCTTTAAACACTTTTCGTAAAAGAAATTTTGCACAGTAATTTCAATCTTATGTTTAATGCTCCTCCAAAATTTTGTCGGCGAAATGAATTTAACATCTGTGGGAGCAGGTTACTTTAAATAATTTTAAACTAGAGGATTTGTTGCATTTTCAGCAAATTTTAAAACATTTTTAGGTTTTACAGAGATTTTAATCTTTAAAAACAGCAGATCTAAAAATAAAAAAATCATGCAAGTTTAACAAAAGGAACATTAAAAATCTAGATCTGAATGTAAGAAGTATAGAACTGTTTCAGAAAAACGAAGCATACTACCTTGATGTAACATTTATTTCTTAACCTTCTTGAGCTGGTTTTGTTCAGCTTAATTTTACTGTTTAAAGGCATTATCTATTGGTTATACCAGTGGGTACATGATTGAATTTAGGGAACAGGGTTGACACAGCAGGTGCTAGTCCTGCGTATTTTTTCTTAAATATTTCCCAACTGTGTTTTATTTTCATTATTTCTTTTCAATATATAACTTTTATAACAAAATATTAGCTTTGATCTTGTAGTTTAAAATCACAGGGAACTGGGGTAATCTTTTACTGAGCTGGATCTTAGAGAAAAATGAATATTTAAATTTTGAAGTTTGCACATTTCATCTTTGTCCTAACATGAGTGCTTGTAACAAGAATAAGAAAAGCCAAAAAACTAAAAAACCCAACTACCTTTATTCATACACAGAATTATGAGGCATACAAATTTCTTTATTGCACCCCCCTTCAACCTCCCCAATCCAACGTCATTGGACTGCCTACGATCTGGTGTCACCTGGTCCATCGTAACTTGATAATAAAAGGAGAAAAAGCACTTAAATTTCACAGAAGCCGTTATGTTTGTAGTAATGGGTCATTGCCTAATAATGAGCTCCATCACTGTACTCAGAATGAAGAATAATGCATGTTAATTTTCTTGTATTAAAGATGCCGTGATTTGTAAAAAGTCTGTATTTTGCGGAATGTCTGGATTAAGAAGCATTACCAATAGGAATGGATCGATAGTTGAAAAATGATTTTCTTTTTGTTTGTTTTATATATAGATATATGAATTGCATCCATGTTCAGAGACAATTTTTTAAATAGATGTAAAGCTTACTTAAATAGCTTTTCTTTTAAAGTGTCTCCGCATTTTAGTTTCTTTCAAAGATTGGTCTTAGACTGAGTCATATGCCCATTAATCATCCAGCTATTTTTTGAGAAGTTAGAGGAATAATTTGTAAATATTTATTTAGATCTTTGATATTTATTGAAAGCAATTACATGATGGAACGATGGAAGCTGAAGAATCAGGAGGAAAGCCTTTAAAAAAGTTTTCTCTAGGATTTGTCAGGGTCATTGTAAAGATGAAAATATAACTAAGACTTCTGTGAACTACCACTGAAATCCTGATCTTTTTTACTACAGTGGTGATATAAGTTAATTGACTAGATACTGCCAAATAATGCCCAATATGTTGCAGAAATTAAGTGGTAAGTTGATTGGAGAAAATAGTAAGTAGATGGTAACTTGTATTACCACAGCTACATTATTGCCTGATAAATGTGTAATTAACTTTTGTCGCCTCTGTGTTGTGACTGTAAAACACTTCACAACTAAAAATCAATCTTGTTCAATTACTTTACAAGTTCCAAAACTTCGATCCACCCCTATGAAAGCAAGTTATTGTGGAAATATTTTTGGTGTAAAATCATTCCAGAATATGTAATATTTAACTGATAGCTGCATGAAAGTAAGATTCGTGTTACTTTGGCTTTTTTGTCTCTGTTGACACGGTTGCACATTTCCAAGTTACTACAGCGTGAAAACTGTGTGTTTTAAAGAAAAAAAACAAAACAAAAAAAAAAAAGATTGTGGCCTGGTTTTGTATAAGTTTTAGGTAAAATTACAATTGATTGTTTTAGGAATCATGATTTAAAATTAATTTTTCTGCAAATCATAAAGCTATATTAAAGTGTTGAGCTTAGCCACTATGCACATTGTAATTATTCATTGTGGCTGTCCAGTTTATGATGCATTCTGGCATTTTGTAAGCTGCTCTGACTAGCAATATATAGAGTCATTTAATGTGTTAACATTGGTTAATAAATGTATTTAAAAAAAACCACACTGAAAGCGTCTGTGTTGATTTTGGCCAGTTGCCCTCCCGTCCATGTGTGGGCATGCACGAGGCTGCTATTTTTACTTGTCCTCACCTAGAAAGACGGGGGCTGTAGGTGGGAGAGCTGTGCCTGAACTTGCAGGAACCTCGCTCCTGACTCAACACTCTCCCTAACTCAGTCACCAACCCTGAGCCTACGCCTGTTATATATTTTCTTAATAAAATAATTTTACCTGGAGGGACTGAGAGGACTGAGAAGACTCCGTGAATCCAGCTCCAGCCTGAATGGCGACAGCATTTCTCTTACAAACGCAGCCCCGAGAAGCAGTCCCTCTCACTTATTTTCCAAGTTGCTGCCAGCGAGGTGTCCAAGGGAGTCAAGGACCCCACGGGGCATGGCCCACAGCCACCCTCAAGAGAAGGGGCCATTTGGGGATGAGGCACAGGCAGGGTGGGTTGTCCTGGAGCCCCATCGTGACTTCGGGGATGCAGGAGGGACACTGTGGGAAGTGGTTTCTCTGTGGCAATTAAGAATTTCCCTGTGCAAATTAAGACCTGGCTAGACCTGCTAGTCCCAGGGAAAAAAAATAATATATATTTTAAATATTTAAAGATCCCTCAAAAATTTCTTTTATTATTTTACTATCCAAACTTCTCTGTTCTTACATGAGTCATAGCATTTTACCCAATAATGCAAATTTTATTAATTGATCTTGATGAAACTTGATTGACTACAAATAACCAGCACAGCACAGCTATTGCAAATGAATCATTTATGCTGAATCAAGCCAGCAAGGCAGGATCAGGAAGAAGTCCTGATCGAATCAGCGTCCCCCTCGAGCTCCCTTTCCCCGGCCTTCCGTTTCGATGACAGCGGTCAACATCCAAGCGCAGCACTTCTCATCAGCACCCCACTGACAGAAATCCCCGGTGGAAATGCTCCCCCACTCACCTCCCCACGTGCATTTGCCAGTTCAGATGTCACCAGTGGGGCCCATATTGCAACCGAATGGGTTCAATGCTTTGGAAGGGCCACGGCAGCTTCCCACGCCCACTGCTTAACATGGGTCCTGTGTGGCCTGCTGTACCCCATCACACGTCCCACGCTGGGCCCTGTCACGGCCCCCCCTGCAAAGCAGAGGAGGGTATTTGTCCCTGCACTGCCCCAAATCTGCAAATTTCCCTCCACCAGAAATCTTAGGATGAGCAGGGGTTTCTCTGAGCTGCTGCATCTTCACCGCTGCAGACAGGGCTGTCTCTTAGTGCTCCTAGAACATCAGTCTTAAAGGCGTTAGTTGGCTTTTTATTGTTGGCTTTTCCTATTTTTATCATTATTGTTGTAGTTGTTAACATCATCATTAGTATCATTATGTAATAATTTTAACTCTGGCTATTACTTTATTTTAATAAGGAGGAGCAGTGGTTTCTGCCTACTGCTTCCTTTAGGTGGAGTGAGCTGCCCAGCTCCGGGCTTGTTTGCCTTTCCAGATCTGAAATGACCGAGTATGTGAACTATGTTTGGGATTTGTTACTGGTAGTTAGGGGCTACCCAGCCAATTTTAGCCTCGCTGAGTGAGAGCACATATGCTAGCTGTGCATATGCTGTACAAATGCTTTCATAAATCAAATTGGGGAGGGTATCAAAACCAGGAAAGCCTTTCTTGCTTTGTTTCATGTTAAGGAAAGTTGCAAGTAGAAAGGTCCATCCATTAGTGAGAATAATAGAGTATTTTTGGTTTTAACTGGGAGATGTTTATAGCTAATATAAATGGAAAAAACCCCAACTGTCTTGGACCTTTCAAAACCCTGAAAAAAACTGTCCTAGTTTCTCTTAATAAAACCTATTTCCAGATGTCAAAAGGCTCAAAAGTACATTAGACTCTGGGTAATGCTCTTTAAAAAAACAAATGCTGGGTTGCTAAAAGTTCAAAATTGTAAAATCAGGAAAAAAAAAGAAAGAGAACCCAGAGAAAATTAATGCTAAATTGCCCCTCCTGCTCCTCATGGTCATTCCTGTCCCAGGACCTCTCCAGCCCCGCAGCCCTGGAGCCAGTGGTGAAGTGTGGAAAGATGCCTTCAGGCACAGCAAACAGCGATGGAGAGGCTGACATTAAATACAGCGCCTGCTTTGCAGATAATTTTTAGGTAGAAGGGACCTAATAATTGAAGATAACACAGAAGAAAGGCTGAGAGAGAGAGAATGGGGCATGCTAAAAGGCAGAGCGATGTGATGTGTTTGTTTACAAAGTCACCGGCCAGTTTCTGTTAACTCCCTGGAAGAGAAAACTAAGCCGGCGTAAAGCTTCAATGGAAATAGGATTTGCCCCAGAGAGGTACCTAAAAATAAACCTGAATTCTGCATAGAGAGGACACTGCGAAGCTGGTTATACAAAATGCTTTACTGGTGTTTGGAAAAGGACTTCTGCAGCAGAAAATAATGTTTATTACTAAAGCCAGAGCACTATTTTATTTTTAAACTACTTCGTTACTGGGAAAAGTATCTTTGACAGTCGGCCACGGCAGGTGGCTCAGGACCCTGCTCGCTGCCACGTCAGGTTTGTGTCTCTTCCCCACTTGTGCTCCCATGGGAAGAGCACGTGGGAGCCAGCTCTGCGCGGGACCCGTCCTGGGCCACGGTCCCACCGTGCTTGGCCACAGCAATGCTCTTTTGTCCCTTCTAACAGGGCCTTTAAGGTGAAAAATGGCTTCATTAAAAGCAAAAATGGAATTGGTGCCTTGCACACAGCAGCTCTTGAAGCCCCTGTCATCAGGAAAGAGGGTTTTGCCTGGCGTGGGCCACCCACGTACGCCTTGGCTGATCAGGGCACCCTGTTAACTGTCCTCGTTAGGAGTAAGAGCAGTTTTCCTGCAAGAGCTGTGTGGGTCTGGTGTGCTCTCAGGAGGGAGCAAAACGAGGTGTCCAAACTCCAGCGGCACGGGCAGCACGGCGCGGGCAGGGAGCTCCTCTGCTGCCTGCACTGCAGCTCAGCCCCTGCCGAGAAGCGACGCTGGGTCCTTCCCGAAGAAGCAGCATGGCCAGAAGCTCTGCCATGCATGACATGCATTAGAGAGAGAGAATTTCTTTGGCTGACACAACACTTGATCGACTGACAGAGCCTTTCCCTGTCTTTTCACAAGTCTGTAAAGACTGGGAGTGCTGGAAAGCGTTTTCTTTTTCCCCTGAAGAAAGAAAAGATGTGCAACTCAGTAATGCAATTGCTTGTTTTTTTTCCCTGCGGCTGCTGTAGCCAGCAGCA